CAAGGTATATAAAGGACAGTGTTAGGTACAGTTACTACATGGGTACAGTAGCATTGTGCTGCAGTGCAACATCAGTGATCATGTACAGTGTGCTTGACCAGATGTTCCAATACACAGTACCACCATCCCAGCTCCCAAGCTATCAAAATTAATCACCATTTATCTGTCTATAGCCTGTACTGAGATTCTAACTGTCTGAAGTAATGTAAGCCTGGTGTCTGCACACTGGGAAATCACTCAAAGAACAGAACAGGAACTGGAGTTCTTCAGAATTTTCACAACAGTAAGACTTCTGCCTGAAGTACAGGGATGTTGCAAGGAATGAGTGAGCATACCTTCCTTGCACAACAGTAAGACCAAAGAGCAACAAAGGCAGAAATGAACCAAGATGTATGTAACGCTTACATCATGTATCACAAGAGCAGTGATTGTGTGACAATGTGAAGTAGCAATTGTGTGCAGAATGTAAGTAAGTTGTATAATAATCAGGGTATAATAATGTAGTAAGATAGTAACCAAACGGGAATTCAGTTACAAGCAAGCAAAGTGAACACAGAATACTAACCAAAAGTGTGAGTACACAACAAGTCAATATTGACTAACCATCTGGGAAAGCAATAGTTCTCAACCAGACCAGTATCAATACAATACAAGACTAGTCACAAGGACTAGTGACAAAATCAATATGTAGACTGGTTAAGACAACTAGTTGATACTTTCATACTCATCAACTCAAGGGGTTTGATCTCCTAAATCGTCAGCGGGTAACCTGGAGACGACATTGCTGGCTGCCAGGCCCGGCACCGAGAGGCGTAACGCTCCGCAAAAAATGATACTCTCATACTCACATATATTGCTAAAGGTCAGCAATATAGTACTGAGTGATGTGCAAAGAACCACACTGACAGAGATGTACTAGCACTTGCAGCAATGAAGATGACACTGTCTTTGACTCAAAGGTTGAGATGGGTGGCATGGAGGGCACTGAGGTAGTGAATTGAGGGCTCATTTAAGAATTCTTGGAGTCTATGCAATGGACATTGAGAGAACAACAAAGGAGTAAGATCAAAAGGATTCAGGACAAACAAGAGACCAGGCTCAACAAGACAAAGAAAGGTCATTGTTCTTTGCATGTTCAGCTTTGGGAAATAATGGTCTGACTGATCAATATAACTCTGCTTATCTCTCTGTAGCCTACACTGAGGCTCTGACTGTCTGATTAAACAGTCAATCCAAGATACCAACCAAGAGAATTAGCACACAGAAAGTCAAATCATATTATCAAACTGGGTTAGCAATAGGTTGCTAGTTAAGATTGCTAGTGTCAATACAAGAGAACTAGCATACAAGTCATAGCGGAGACTAGTTAAGACAACTAGTCAATACTCTCCTAGTCAGACACATTACTGAAGGCCAGTCAAATATTACACATATATGTAAGCCTTGTCATTAACTACAAGGACAATAGGAAATAGTTTGTCCTTGATCAGGACCAACTAATCTCTAGGTGATTGGTAACCCTTCTCACATATCCAACCATAAACCACCTGTCTATAACTATACATAGCCCTGACCTAACTACATAAGTAGGGAAGGTTTGTCCTTGTTTAGGACTAACTAAAGTCTGGGTGTTAGTAAGACTTTGTTACATATACAATCAACTACCATCTGGTATAGATAGCCATATTCAGGCTCTCCAAGCATTATCCATCATCTTGAACCTTAGCATGTACTTTGATTCATGATGTATGGCAGCAGTAGATTGTACTATATTTTATACTATACTATATACATACAGGTTTTGTGAATTTGTGTGTTACTTATATATATAGCTGAAGTGTCGCTTACGAAACTTACCGTGGCAGTCCAGCCTTGCCCCCGTTGAACTCATGTTGGTGAGTCGTTTTCCTGAGGCCTCACGATGTTCAGAATCGTGATGGGTTCAGGCCCCACAGTCTGGGCAGCCATTTCGAGCTGGTGTGTACGTACCCAGGCTTGCCAGTATTCACGCATCATGACAGCGTGAGTGTTCACGCACGTCACAGCTTGACAGTGTGAGTTTGCAGGTCCTCAGGGAACGTTGGCGTGAGCCCGTTGCTTGTGTGGCGCATCGCCGGAGGCTCGCCCGTCTTCGCATCGAGCGCAGGCGTGGGTACGGCGATCTTCGTTTGTCGCGTCAGATGTGGCGGGGCAGCTGCGGAGTGCACGGAGGGGTCGCATCTCTTCGCAGACCTTGAGATGTACATCGCGGAGAGATTGACGTGTCGGAAGGAGGAACGTTGCACGTTGAAGGTCGACCGTCGGCGCAAGACGACTCGGAGTGCAGATCGCGGGCGGTGTTGGTAGAGGGTGCGCAACTGGCGTGCGAAGGGAGGGCTGACGATGGTGGTGGGAGAAGCAGGCTGGCGGCGGCGTGCGGGTGGTCGCGGCGGTACGTCAGCGGATCCCTCGCATGCTGACAGGCCCGCATTGCGCATGCCTGAGGTGGCAGACGAGGCGCGAGGCGGAGGGTGGCCGATGAGGCAGGGAGGGTAACTAGGATTAATGAGTGAGCCGAAACGGGCAGGGAGCGACCACACACCTTCTTTGCGGCACTACTGGCCGTGCTACGCCCCGCTAACCTCCCACCTCTCCAGCGATGCACTTGGCGCATCGCTGGAGCCTGTCGATCACCGTCGGAGGCGCGATGTTTGAACGCGCGGCTGGCCGAACGCGCGGACGCGTTTGCGCGTCGTCTGTGCCACGTCACGAGCCCGTCGCTTGTCGACGCACTCGCAGGGTGTATCGAGGAGCGGTGTGAGTGGCCGCAGGTGCGAGGAAGGCGGTGTCAGGAAGGAGAGAGGGGCCTTACAGGTCGCGCATGTGGCGACGCGCGACCTGTTCCTTGTTGGCGGGTGTGCGTGTGACGGTGGCCTCGGGATGCTGTCGACGTCGCGGGTGGGTGCTAGTAGAGCGAGAAGGAGTCACCGCGGGCAAACCAGGTTGTTCGAACTCCGAAAACCCCTACGAACATCGGTCCCGCCTGGGAACCTTTACGGACTCCGAATATTGTCAGAACATGCTGCGAACATGATGCGTTTCAGCCAATTTCAGCATGTTCGGAGGCCGAACAGGCGTGTTTTCGGCGAACATGCTACGAACATGAGAAATGTGGGAGCATTTTCGGAGTCAGTCAAGCTCTCCGAAAAGGTTCCCATGGAGGACCGATGTTATTAGCATTTTCGGAGCCCGAAAAACCTGGTTTGCCCGCGGTGAGTGGTGGGCGAGACTGAGACAACCTCGCTCACGCGACAGTGGGATTCCCACGGGCCTCCGGATACTCAGGCTCGAACCTATGGCATTACGTAGTACTGTGGCCCACTTGGACAAAATCATTTATTGGACAATATCACTAGGTCATAGTGAACAATTGACCTACTGATCATAACGGTACATGAACGGGACCGAGCGGGACGGGACGGAAGGGGAGCATACAAGAGAGGACGTGGCAGGCAGGATATGACAGGATCCTACGCATTATGACAGGATGGGAGGAGAACTCACAGGCACATACATTATCGGACAGTATCAGACAGGACGTGATGGGTCAGGCTCATTCAGTAACTCATAGGATCGTACAGGATAGTATGGAAAGCGGCAAGTAACGATAGGATCGCTCAAGATCGGTCGGGATCTTGCCAGATCCCGACCGATCTTGAGTGATCCCGTACTAGCCCGTACTGTCCTGTACGGTCCTTCCGGATCTGGGCTGGACGCATAGGTACGTTACTAGGCCCCTCGATTTTTGTCCGATAAAGCCCTTCATAACATCCACGATCGACTACGAGCGAGATCGATCTGGGCTTCCTATTCACCAGTTTGAGTTAACAGCTGCCGTTCTAGGGACTATCTCGGCCCAGGCCTTTGTTTACGAATGCACTCACGACAGGCAATGGCCAATATAACGGCGAGGAATAAGTTCAGGAAATACTCCCGACGTGGTCTCCTGTCACGGGGACAATTACTAGCCTTTTATGGTCAGGAACACGTAAGCTGGTCGGTCCGTTTTCCGCCCATATTCCGGCCCGTAATCGGGTTCCTCATTCCGCCCCGGAATATGTCCTGAACAGGCTCGTCTTTGTCATCATATCCTTCCCCAATTCTTGTCCGGAATAGTGTCCCTGTCCCGATCCGGTAAATGTCCTGAATATATGCGCAATAGTCTTCCTGTGCTTACCCTTTTCCGGCGCTGATCATACGCACAATAGTCTTCCTGTGCTTACCCTTTTCCGGCGCTGATCATACGCACAATAGTCTTCCTGTGCCAACCCTATTCCGGCGCCGACTAACCCAGGGATAAGTAGCATATCACGACCCCTCGTTGCAGTAGGCACGAGCTAGAGGTAGGGCTGGGCGCAGTACGTGAGTGTTCCCCGGGAAGGTCGAGGTGCAGTCCCACGGCACCATGGTCCATGGATCACTTCATGATCGTGTTGACCGCGCCCGTTGCGAGCCGTTGCTGAGAAGTAGCTACGACTCAACTACAGTATGTTCCGCAGCTCCGGCGCAGCGACCGACTCGGATGGAGCAACGCGTTCACTCGGAGCTCGGAGCTGCGTTGACTGTAGCAGTAAGTAGCCTGGAGTCCAGACTGCTCTTCTCCGTCGGGAGCTCTAGGAGTTAGTAGTCCTCGGGAGCAACGTGTTCGCTCGGAGTTGTCAGCCCCAACGCCGCTCGATCGACGTACGATAGCTACTTAGTACTTACAGCCTAGGCCGTCGTTCTCCGCCGGGAGCTCTACTCCACGTGCCAGCTCCGGCGCACAACTCTGTAGAGCTCGCCTGGAGCTCGCAGAGCTCCGGTAGCTCCGACTCTCTGCAACGCTGGATCAGAGGTCTCTAATTCTACGGTAGCTGGTTGTAATGTAGCTATACACTTAGAGCTCCATCACGGTACTATCACTTGAATACTACGCCGACGTTGTTTTAACTCTGTGAATCGATCAGCATCGCAGCGAGAAGTCAACGTGAACCACATACACGGTCAAGCGAGCGAACAACGATACAGCTCTCACCGATCTCCTCTGGAACATAAGCAAAGCTGGCAAAATGCGCTACGATGTCGGCGGAGTGTATCAGCGCAGTTTGCTCCGAAAAGCGGTCGTAATAGAGCTGAGTGTCGAGCAAAGGAAACTGCCGGTATGGATCGTTGGCGGCATGGTCTTGCGACAGCGGTACGTACTGGTCGACGATGAAGAACGGCTCCACGACTCGAGCATTGGACTCGGGGTCATTGCGAGAGTGGAGAAAGATAGAGGATATTTGCCCCGCACGTACAAGAGTGCGATCTGCCGACGTTTTGCTTAGAAAACAGATGAACGAGTTTCGGATGTTGCTGTCACGGGTTCCGTACGTTACACCAGATAGGTCGAGCTTGGATACGAAGCGTACAAGAGGCGAGAGACGCATTCGCCGGTCACCGATGGGACTATAGAACGATGCAAAGTCAGTGTTCCGGCCTGCGCAGTTCATGACATCTACAAGGGTGTTGTAGATAACCCTGTCCAATTTAGCATCGCTGAGGCCAGCATAGATGTCCTTGTAGGATACATCCTCGCCGTAGCCAGGGAGCGCACCGAGCACGTCGATGACCCGCGTACCGCGGGCGGCGTCTTGATAGACATTCTTGAACGCGTTTAGGACCTCGTGAATGCTGTCGTCTTTTGGCCAATCTGCCGAAGCTATCCTCCAGCGTAATTCGGCTGCGGCATGGAATATGCGCATATAAGTGAGGGGTATCTTGTCTGATATACCAGAAACTTAGAATGAGCTCATCTCATTGCGTTGAGAACAAACTCATACCTGTCTGATTGTTCGTTTTCAATCGCTGTATGATCCCATTGAAGCGTTCGAACGGATAGGCCCACCAGCCATGCACAGGGCCGAATAGCATGAGACATGTCGAGAGGTGCAGGGATAGGTGATGATTCGGGACAAGGTTGTGTTCAAATAGCTCTCTCAGCGTACGCAGGTACTCTAGCATATGATGGTCGTAGAGACGCGCTCGTTCAGCGCTCATAGAGCGACGGGACGCCAAGTCGACGGCAACGACAAGATGGATGAAATTATCGAGTAAGTGGTGCTCGGCTGTCGACGCTGTGGCACGGCCCCAGATGCGCGTCAGGGTGACGACCATATTGATTGTGCACACCGTCCTCCAATGGTCGGCCTTGAGCTTACCATGGCTGGCACTGCCGAAGTTCAACGGGGGCCGCTCGACCCATGAAGGGAGATACGTGGACTTGATGTCGCAACGCAGTTGATCGACAATTTCGGGAGTCAGGATGCGGAATTTGGATATGTCGTGAGGTCCGTTGGCTAGATGGAAATCAGCCGTGTCGCTCTTGAGAACGGGCGGCACTGCAAGGTGATCGACGCCGTGGTCTCGACACTGCGGCATAACAATGATCACTGGACAGAATAGCAACAGACCAACTATGACTCACCCATGCTAAGAGTGCTTTGGCGTACTCATGCTTTGTTAGCTTTTGCGGCGAGATGCTGTTGAACTGAGCCAACGCAACCAGGTAACCTTTCCGAGGCTGGGCAACAGCTGATAGAACACCTTTGCGCAGCGCGTCAATGAGACGATCGAGGTGCCTCTGCTGTTCCTCAGGCGTGTGCTCCACCGTCTTTTTGACAGTCTTATCTTTATGGTCTTTGATGTCGATTCCCCATACGGCCATGCAGTGATGTCGAAGCTCGCCTAGGAAGAGGTTGTGCATTGCGTCGACTACTGCGTACCGAGTAGGGTCCCAGTAAGGTAGGCGAAGGAGCTCCGACCATCGCAAGCCGTGCTGATCGAATAGCGCGTCTCGCTCCTGATGAGTGGCCGCGCTGCGCCATTGGTGGGCGATGTTCAGGTGCTCTTTCCAGGTGCGGGACGGCCACGGACGTGACAAGTCGTTGATTTCTGGTCGTTTGAGGAGACAAAACGAACAAAAGTGCTTCGAGGAATGGCCTGCGAACCCAGCGGCCTTACGAAGAGCAGGAAGATCGCATATCAGAGGGATAATGGCAGCACGAACGGTCCGTCCAGAAGTATGAAGGGCGGTTTGACTCAGCAGGAGCCCAGAGTGCCACAAGACCAGCATTTCATCGACAGTTGGACGCAAGAAGTGATTGAGTTGGTGTAGGGAGGGCTCATTTGGACCCGGTATGATGCCAACAAGACATATGTTCTCTGCCCGAAAGCGCAGATGAGGGGGAAGATTGATGCATACTAGATATATTGCGCCGAGAGAACGTGACTTCCCCGCTTTCTTATTGCCACCCGGATTGAACCAATCGATGTAAAGACCAAAGACGAGGTTGACGTCGGTGCCGGACTGTGCAGAGAACAGTCTGCCGTCGGGCCCCCGGAAAGTTTGCAGTGCTGGCGCCTGGAGAATGTCCCTCCATTGCCCATCTGAGGGCACCGAGCGGTCCCATGCGCTTTCCACGACCTGCTCGAGATCGCGTCGAGCGAACAGCCCCGCGATCCATGAGAATGCCGTGCGATAGGGAAAGGGCCGAAGAGGGGAATACGTGCATTGTGGCAGGATGTTGTCCGTCGAGCGGCCGCGGCGATCCTTCTTGACAAGCGGACTGCCACACGGCGGGCCATCAGCCTCGACGTATGTACAGCGGAGCGGGTATGGATTGGCAGGGCTGGCAGGGTTCGGGGCATAGATGCAGGAACACGAGGGGCATGCAGCGTATCGCGTAACCTCAGGCTCCAAATTGAGGGTTCTCAACACGGTCCTGACGTCGCGCGGAATAGAGTCGAGTATGCCATGCTGGTCTGCAGTGAGCGGATGTTGGCCACGAGGAGCACTGGCTGCGTTACAAGCGACGAACGCGCCGTAGAGTAGTGCACGTAAAGCTGCCAAGACAAGATTTGCCGCATCGCGACTCAGGCCCGAGAGTGTATGCAAGGCGCTAACTGTGAGAAGGGCAGCGAGAAGGAATGCTGGTAGCGCCTGCTTAGCGGTATGCCATGCGGCTGCAAGGAAGCATGAAAACATGGATGATAGAGTGATGTGTTGTTACACACCTGTTTCATAAACCTTTGGCTGACATACTTGCTCCTGATCCGGTAACTTGTATAAGCCTGCGAGTATCTTCTCCGCCTCCCACGCAGAAGTTTCGATGGAGGAGAGCGATTCTAGTCGCTCAGAGATCCTTTGAATGAGCACTGCTCGACGACTATCGGCATC